GTTTCCTTGTTCATTTTGATGGGATTTGGGTAGGGATGTTCATTGACTTGGCTTCAGTCACTGTTTAACCCGGAAGTCCCAATATGGCGCCTCGGTTGCCGTCATTCTGAGTTTATGTACAGCAACGATGCTGCCCTTTTGGACTGCAGAGGAAAGTCTTCTTAAGAAAGTACTGTGATCTGGCACCAGAGGCTCAAGCAGCTCTGAATGCTCCTGTGCTGATTGTTGGACGGCAGGTCAGCTTTCTGGAAAGGTCTGCGGAGTTAATGTAGTTAATGGTGGTTGGAAGGCATCGGTGGGGGAAAGCTGTGAAAATACTTTGTTTCTTTTTAAGGGCAGGATGAGATACCTGAAGGAGGGAATGCTCAGTTGTTACTATCTTGAGTATGTATTGTTGACTCATGTTCCTGCATTTGTGACGAACCTGTTTGATGCAACTCAGAAATGATCATTTTAAGAAATGAAGTTTAAGATTCTCTAAGCAGGCTTTTCTCAAAGGGTGGTCTGTGGGTCTGGGGCCATGGAATTCTGGGCAGAAGGGGCTTCTTCAGAACGCAGCAGGATCTTGCTCTGGACCTGCTGAATTAGAATAGAGGTGAGTCCCGGAAACTGGCATTTTACGTCAGCACACTACCCCCCTCCCACCCCCCTGCCAGGGATTCTGTATAGCCCAAGTCGGGGAGCAACTGGTCTCGATCCTTGGCTCTTGTTTGGGGTTGCTATTCTCTGCAAACTTTGGTTTTTCTTTGGTTTTGCTTAAGCAGCCCTCTGATGTCAACATCGGTGGAGTTTCTCCCCACGTTATCATTCATTCCTGCCCATTTTGTTTTAAACTCCAGGATGAGAATTATTGAATTTCCTGAGTTGCTTTGCATTTCTGGATTCCTAACTCTGAACTTTTGATTCCCTCTCCCACAGAGCCGAGAAAACAGAAGTCCTCAGTGAAGATCTGTTACAGGTAACAAAATAAAAATCTTTTTCAAGTACTTTGTTTAAAGAGGAAAACCAAACCAAACCAAACCAAACCTCATAGGTGAGAACTGAAGTGGATGTGTGTATGTATTCTCTGAAACAGAATAAAATTGATCCGCATGATTCTGAGCGGGAAAGAAAAGCAGTTGGGTTGCATGGTGATAAAAAGGGGATCGGAAACTTTGGTGTCATGTTATGAAGTTCAAATGGGGCTAGTCCTGCTTTCAAGTGCCAGGTGTTGGGGTGGGGTTTGGGGAGGGACCTGTCTGGCCCGGCCGGTCCAGTGGCACTGCGGCCTGGTCATGGGTCCCGGGCAGGCGGAGGGACCGTCGTTCACTGCTGGGATGGCGTCCTTGATGGCACGGGCCCGGCCAGTGGCAGCAGAGGGCCCCACTGGCTCCAACCTAGAGTTTCCACTTCTTCTTCCCTCTCACGCTATTGTTCTCCAGTTCTGGGCTGAGCTGGGTCCCCAGGGACTTAGAGTCTCAGTGACAGTGACCAGATCTGGTGGAACCACTCTGAGGCCCTGAGGTGGCCTGTCATCCACCTGGACGTCTTTTCCTCTCCGTAGGGAGGGGTGTTTCCTGTGGGGACCTCAGCCAGGGCCGCTGCACTTACCTCTCAACAGGCTTCCCAAACTTTGGGGCTGTGAGTTTCTCCCAGAAGGCCTGGACCCTTTATACACATGCCTTCGCTCAACCTCAGCCCCCCTGCGTCCCCGCCACTTCAGAGCGCACCGGGAAGGACAGAGCCCCTCCTGTACTGAGGTTTCGCTGAAGCCTTCTTGCTCATGTCATTTCCATAACCCACAGCAGGTGTGTGCACTTGACCCCTGAAGACCAAAGATCCGCTCCCAGGTGACCCCCCCCGTCTCTCCCTAGGGAGAGAAGGAACCAGCGTAGTTTAGAAGAATGTTACTTGTACCACCCCATGTCAGAACATCCTTCTTGATTATGACAGCCAGCCACAGATACAAGATTTTAAGAGCCCCCCCTTTTTTTTAAGGACCAGAAGTCTTTATTAAGGATTAGGGTTTTTTTTCCCCCAGATTTATTAGACAATCATATTCTTAATAATATTTCCTCACTGGCTTTTACCACGTATTTCAACTTCATTTTCAGACTTCCAGCAATGTTGTTCGGTCCTTAGTTAACCTTTAACTCGACTGGGTTTTCACGCCCTTGTTCTGTCTCCTACATCCCACACCAGTAGTAGACACGATCTCATTGAATCCTTGAAGCCCCAAGATGCGGCCAGGGGGCCTCGCAGGCAGTTCGAGGACGGCAAAGTTCCCAAGGAAGGCAGGCGGCAACTGTCTGCGCTTGAGGGACAAGCATCCACTGGGGCCCCAAGAGTTCGCTGGTTTCTAGGAACACCTCATTTCATGACACGGATACTTACTCCACATCTGCCATCATTGCTACAGATGTTTTCCCCTTCTTTGACTATAAAGAAGGAGAGTAATGGGTGAAAGTATGGAGTCTGGAGCCTCCCTACCCAGGTCTGCCCTTGACTTGCTCTGTGGCCTCAGGGATTTACTGAACCCACCCTAAACCCAAGTGCCTCAGTTTCCACTTCACTAAAATGAGGATAATGGCTGTATCCACCCCTTTGGGTTATTAGCAGGAGTTAATGGGTTAAACAGGAGAGCACGAGGGATAAGCCACAGAGATTTGTTTGTTTCTGGTGTGAAACTTCCCTTTACTTGCTCTAAATCCTCCTGCCACTTAGATCAGTTCAAGAGGCTCTATTTTGCCTGTTTTTTTGCTCATAAGTAAGTTCATTTTGCTCATGTGGAGTTTCCCTGGGAGGCTATGAATCCTGGGAGGGCAAGAAGCACAACTTATTTACTGTTGTTTTTGTAATACCTGGCACGGGAACTTGATACATATTTGTCCTTTCAACAAATATTAAATGAGCACCTTCCATTCGTGAACCAGACAGTGTTCCGGACACTCAGGAGAAATCAGTGAACAAAACAGACCAAGGTCCCCATCCCTATGGACTTGACAGTTTTCTAGTAGAAATCAGAATCAAAGTGAAATGGAGTTGGGGGGGGAGGGGTTGTTTTGGTTTTGGTTTTGGTTTTGATTTTACCTGTTTTCATGGCAAATAAAGAGTGTGTATTCATTTTCCAATGTTTTAAAATCCGGTCATTATAAGATTAGGGGGAGGTGATGGGGCATCTGGTCCTTTTATGCCTGCCAGATCAGGGTCCTGGTGGTCAGGCCTTGGCTCTGAAGAAAAGCTGCTGGGGCAGTGAGGACCTTCAAGAAAGAAGCACAGAACCATATCACTGGGTAAAACGTTGTGGGGTAAAAATGCATTCTGCTTTGAATTTGTTGATTTTTCTTTAAAATAGAAAGCATCCCTAAGGGCCTGCACTCGGTCTTAATGAGTCATCAGAATACACATTTTTGGCATTCCTTCTCGTGAAAAGCAGCTCTCTTTGCCATAAACAGCCATATCCCAGCAGTAATATTTTGGGAAACTAAATCGTAATGCATGGGTCCCCTAAGTCAGTGTTTCTTACTGTTGGCTGTCCCTTCTGCTTTAGAGGTTTATTGAAAACAAAAACAAAGCCAGCAACCCACCCTAAACCCAGTAAGGAATCATTCTGAAGACACTGACCTTGAGTGGAAATTGTGGAACATTGATTTTGATCCTTCAGCCTGATGTCCTGTGCGCAGAAGGCACTGTTGCTGTCTGCAGGAGGTCGCCTCTGAACGTCCCTGTGGCTTTTTCCACTTGGCAGTGGGCCTGGGCCTGAGGTGTTCATTTTCACTCCTGCAGGCTGGAGCCGGGGCTTTGCTGGCCCTGTGGTGTGTAACTCGGCTGCTGCCACTCTTTCTGATAGGAGGTTTTAGTCCAGACTCCGCTCCCTCCCTGTGCGCAGACTTGGCCCTTGAGAGATTGAAACCCCTCGGTGTAAGGGAGGTCGAGGCTCTCCACCAGGGGCTATTGCGTTCGCCCTCTGGGGAGATGTTGGACCATGTGTGGCAACATCTTCGGTTGTCACACCTCGGGGAATGGGGTGCTACTGGCATCTAGTAGGGAGAGGCCAGAGATGAGGCCAAACACACCAGAATGCACAGGACAGCCCCCGCCCCCCCGAATTATCTGGCCCCAAATGTCAATAATGAGAACCCCTGGTGTAAGTGAATGGGGACCATTTCCACGTACATCCCAGAGCTAAACACTTAGACCAGGGGATGCTTTTTCTGCCTGCGGGCCGGCGCCACAAAGGAAGAGGCTGGGTGTGTTCTTCAGCCCCTGCAAATGGCTCGTTTGTCTCTGTTTTGTCAGATCGAGCGGCGCCTGGACACGGTTCGGTCAGTGTGCCACCATTCGCACAAGCGTCTGACAGCATGTTTCCAGGGCCAGCATGGGACCGACACCGAGAGGAGATACGTGAGTAGCGGGTGTGACCCAGGGCCGTCGTTCTTGCGTCTCGGTGAGGCTTTGCACCCTGCAGACCCTTGGTTTTTCTCAGGCAGGAGCAGCTGTTGCCTGCAGATTTGTACCTTATATCGCCATTTACTCTCGTGACGCCTGCCTGACCAGAACATTCTTTTGTGCTTAAGACATTGCTGAGCTGAAAGCCCTGCTCACACTGAATTTTCTCCAGGTGCTTTTAAAGACTCAATGAGCCATTTGTCGTTGATAAGACAATGGAGATGTCTGTTAGGAATGCTTTGATGGCAAAAAAGCTGAAAGCCTGTCTTAAATGGACTTAGAAAATGGACGTAATTTATTGGCTTACTGACCGAAACGTCCAGAAGCTGGGGTGGACTTGAGGTGAAGCGTGGGCTAGCATTTCAGTGGTGTAACCAAAACCCCACTTTCTTTTCTTCTGTCCCTTCTGCCTTCTTCAGTGTCTGCTTTATCCCTAAATGGGCTCCTCTCATGGTCGCGGGTTGGCTACCAGCAGCTTCCATGGGCTACTTGCTTCCTTGTGCGTGTCCGGCAGGAATAGAAAGTGTGTCTTCCAGTAGTTTTCTTAATGGAGTGGGAAATCTTCTTTTTCCAAGTCCTTGGCAGGTAGAAACCACCTTCCATTGCGTTGGTCCGTACTCAGCCATATTTCCCATTCCGGAACATTCCCATTCCACCCTGATCACCGTGGGCAGGGGCGAGGTTGGTGAGGAGATGGGATGTGCTGGTTGGTTAAGCTAATCAGGGCCCAGCCTTAGAGCGTGGGCTGCAGAGCTACCTACAGCTCACGGGCTTTACTGAGACCGGGGTGGATCCCTAAGAGAAATCAGGATGCTGTCGTAGAGAGAAGAGGGATGCACTCCAGGAGAACCATCGAATGTGTCCATTTGGTCAAAGCATCCGACTCCTGTGCCACCAGCAGCAGTGATCATGGGCCAGTCCCATCCTTGGGTTTCCGAGATCCTAGCTCAGGAGCATACGCTAACCCTCGGAAGCCCACGTGCCATTAAGGTGATAGTTTCAGGGGCAGCTATGATTTGCCAAAGTGCTTTGTCTGTCATCGGATGTCTCACAACGAAGAACCAGCATGCAGATGATCTGTGTCGCCCTTCTTTTATATTTCCATACAGACATTTATGGGACGTCTAGACAGCAGGGTTATTCCTCTCTTGTGCAATACTTAGTTGGCTGCAGTAGGTAGAGACCAAAGAGTGGAGCTTTGTATGCACCCACGATGGCAGGAATGCCTGCTGCAGGTCCAGTCCCGCAGAACCAGACCCAATCCCCTGGTCCTGTCCCCACGGCTCCTCTCCTTCTCTTGCCACGGCTTCTGTTCTACCTACCCTTTTCACATGGTGCCCTAAGGCTCTGTCCTCCTCCTTATTCCCCCAGCCACATTCCTTGGGCCACCTCCTCTGTTCTCATGGCTTCTAGCTGATGTGTTTATGCCAGGGACATCTAAACCATTTCAACCAAGCAAAAACACTTCCTTCCCTAGATGTCTATTTTAGTGTGTGTAACTAGTTCTTCCTTCTGTGTTGACTCTTAAGTTCCACCCACCCTATTATGCAAGCCAGAAACTGTAGGGTTACCTTACGTTCCCTTTCCTTTTATCCTCACCCTCCCACAGCTGCTTGAGTAGCAAGTCCTGTGATTGTGAGTATCTTTTGAATTCCTCACCTCCGCTCCATCTCTGCCACCTTCACCTTAAAGCAGAACCTGATTACCTCTCACCTGGATGGTGTGGTCACCTCCTGAGCTTCAATTCCTGCCTCTGGTTCCTTTTTTTTCCAGTGTGTCTCCAGCCAGATCACCAGAATGTTCTGAAATACACATCAGTACTCTCATCCTCCTGCCTGAAAAAAAGTCTTAGCTTCGTGGTTCTCCAGAGGGACCAGAATTACACCCATGGGGAGATTTGGAAATATGTGGAGACATTTTGGGTTGCCGTAGGACCTGGGAGACACTACTGGTGTTTGGAGGGAGGGGACCGAGATGCCGAACATTCTGCGGTGCCTGGAGGGATAGTTTCACACCGGAAGTGGCCCCTGATGCCCGTGGTGCCTCTTTGAGGGGTGCTGGCTGCTTCCCATTGGCAGGATTAGAGTCCAAGCTCTTCAGCATGACAAGCCCTTCATAATCTGACCCCATTTCCCCTGACAGTCCCCGTGTCTCCTGCTTCCTCTCTGTGCCTTTGTCCTTCACGTTGTTATATCTGGTCGCTCCCTCTGACCGCTGGAAGACACAATCTAGGTGTCCCACATACTCCATAAAAATAAATTAAACGAGTATTTATCAAACACCTACTATGTACAAGTGCTAGAGATAGAAAATGAAGAAGAGATAGTCTCCACCTTAAAGGTGCTCACAGCCTGATGGGGAGAGACACACAAAGGGATCATTATAAAATGACATGTGTAACAAAGTGTGCACAGGATACCATGGGAGGATCAAGAATGGGCATCACGGGAGGAGAGAGGTAGTCAGGCGAGGCTGCCTGGAGGAGGTGGTGGTCCAGCCATAAGGGAGGGCAATGAGCGGCAGGTGATGGGCATATTCTAGGCAGCGGGGGCAAAGGTGCCTGGCCCTCAGTTCTAAAACCTAATGCCTGAGGCTTCCTTTTCCAACCTGGAACAGAAGAGCCAAAGACAGATCTCTGCGGCTGTCTACACTGTGCACATGGGAGGGGCAGTCACCATAGAAACGATAGGAGGTAGGCGACCACAGAGGTCGTACAATGCGGAGAAAATGGCGGCAGCCTCTAGGGCTCTAGAATACACAGGAGGAGCCCCCAAAGGCCCCACGAGAGGCTCCCATGCATGTGCAGAGGCAAGACTTGGAGGGGGTGGTCTTCTCAGCCCAAGACATGGACGCAGCAGAGCTTCTGCCGTGCATCACGTGAGACCTGGAGTGCCTGCCTTTTGTGCAGTTGGCAGGCATTTTATAAATTATGACGTTAGAACTTTTTTTTTTCAAGATTTTATTTATTTATTTGACAGAGAGAGAAACATAGCGAGAGAGGGAACACAAGCAGGGGCAGAGGGAGAGGGAGAAGCAGGCTTCCCGCTGAGTAGGGAGCCTGATGCGGGGCTCGATCCCAGGACCGGGATCATGACCTGAGCCGAAGGCAGACGCTTAACGACTGAGCCACCCAGGCGTCCCAGACGTTAGAACTTTTTAAATGAATCCCTGGTGATAAAAAAGCTGTCGGTGCCTAGGAAGTGTTTAGCCGTGTTCGTGGAGGAGCATGGCGACGGTAGACAGCATCTTCATCAAGGAGCACAGGGTTAAATAAGCGGAATATCCTTATTTGTATACATCAGGAAACCGGATTGTTGTGGCTTTGGGGTCAGAGCCTGGAAACCGCAAGGCTGTTTATAGCTGGGAACTTGAATGATACTTGCAATGGAGACTCCTCTTTTATGATTTCTTTTTGTCCAGAGCTCCAGAGTTGCACAAAGTATATTTCTCCTGATTATTACATTTATCCTAGAGTTAAATTCCCACCAAAAGGCAGCATTACTGGGCTTCCTGGCCGGCACAGTCGGCTGAGCGTCCAGCTCAGGTCGTGGTCTCGGGGTCGTGACCCCCGTTGTATTCTGCCCTCAGTAGAGTCTGCTTGGGATTCTCTCTCCCTCTCCCTCTGCCCCTTCCCACCCCTGCTCACGCGCTCACTCTCTCTCTCTAAAATAAGATAAATCTTAAAAAAAAAAAAGGCAGGCAGCCTTACGAAAATGTATGAATTACCCTCACTATGATCAAGGCACGCTGCCCGTTTTCTCTTCTCTTCCTGGTCTGGAAGTGTAGAAACTGAGGGGCAGGTGGGGCAGGTGGGGCAGGTGAAGCCTGTTATTTACTTATTTGAAAACAACTTGAGGGGCGCCTGGGTGGCTCAGTCGGTTAAGCGACTGCCTTCGGCTCAGGTCATGATCCTGGAGTCCC